GCCCAGGCTGGCCTCGAACTCACAGAGATCCGCCTGGCTCTGCCTCCCGAGTGCTGGGATTAAAGGCGTGCGCCACCACCGCCCGGCCTTTTTTTGTTTTTTCAAGACAGGGTTTCTCTGGGTATCAACCCTAGATGTCCTGGAACTAGCTCTGTAGACCAGGCTGGCCTTGAACACACAGATCTGCCTGCCTCTGCTTCCCAAGTGCTGGGATTAAAGACATGCACCATCACCTCCGACTGGTCTTATACTTTTATAGCTCAAAGTGAATTTTGAACTTAAGGCAGCCTTCCTGCATCAGCCTCTGTGCTATGTTTGTAGGCATGCATTCCCTCTTCTGGATTTCCAGCTCCCCTAATTATCTCATTTTTTATTAGCTTTGCAGGGGGAAAAAAGATAACCGTGAAAGGGATGGGTCAACAAAACATGTTAAATCTATAGTCTCCTTTTACCATTTCCTGCATAGAAATGGTGGAATCAATGAAGAAAGTAGCAGGGATGGACGTGGAGCTGACAGTTGAAGAAAGAAACCTTTTATCTGTTGCATATAAAAATGTGATTGGAGCCAGAAGAGCATCCTGGAGAATAATCAGCAGCATTGAACAGAAGGAAGAAAACAAGGGAGGAGAGGACAAACTAAAGATGATTCGGGAGTACCGGCAAATGGTGAGATGTTACCATTTGATTTGACTTGATACTGTCTTGTTTTATTTTGAATGTCGTTGAGCACTTTGCCTTGCCTCACTCTCTACCGTGTATGTGCTTGGTGCCCTTGAAGGCCTGAAGAGGGTGTCAGCTCCTCTGGTACTGGAGTTAGAGGTGGTTGTGAGCTGCAGTGTGGATGCTGGCAATTGAACCTGGGTTCTCTGCAAGAGCAGCCAGTACTCTTAACAGAGTCTATCTTTGGAACTGTGGCTGGCCTGGAATTCAATATGTTGACTAGTCTGGATTCAGCCTCTAGTGTTAGAATTAAAGGCATCCGCTTGAATACAGTGTTTTTTAAAAGATGATAGTTTCTCAAATATAGATGACACTGGGCTAATTTACGGTTTGGGTACCATTAATTTCTGTATATCTGTTAGAACTGATTAGTGTACATAGAGAAGAAGTTTATTTTTACTCAGTTTCAGAGGATTCTGTCCTTGATGGAAATGGACCCCAAGTCTCTGGACGACAGTGCAGGGTCCATGTCAGATAGCAAAACTGCTTACACCCTTTGTCAGAAAGCATAGAAGACATTTATCCAAGTCAGGGTAGTGTTCATTTGTCACAAATAGTAACATTTGTGGCAGAAGTAATAAGAGTTGTTGATATCTGAATGTCCTAAATTATTGCTTCTTATGTTTATATTTGCTATCTGGGAGAGAAAGGAGACACGTGTGTGTGTGTGTGTGTGTGTGTGTGTGTGTGTGTGTGTGTGTGTGTGTGTGTGTGTGTGTTTGAGTTTGATATCTGGCTAAGTCTCAGGCCTATAGCTTCAAGTGATTTGTGTTAGACATGGGTATTTTAGGTCACTACCTAATATACACTGCATAAGTACAAAAGTAAATGTAGTTTGTATTTTTAACTTTTCACTTAACCTTGGTTAGAAATTACAGACTAGAGAGTATTTGAGAATAAAGCCAAGAACTGTTTGTTTTAGAGCTGCAGAGGGGGAAGTATCCTGAGAGGGAGGGGTGTAGGGATTAGGCTTGGAGTGCACACTCTACCATTGAGCTGTGTGTCCAGCACAGGTATTAAGTTTTAACCAACACACACACAAGTGAAGAACAGATGGAACTGTTGCTCCTGCTGTGGCTGTTGTAAAGCACTTCACTGACTCCTAGTGAACACATAGGGCAACTTCAGTGTTTGCATTTATTTGTACATGTCCACGGGGAGTGCCATGGTGCACGTGTAGAGGGGAGGGTGACTTCGTGAATTGCAGGTCCTGGAGCTTGAACTCAGGCCATCAGCCTTGGTGGTAAACACCCACCAACTGGACCATCTTGCAATCCCCATATGGGCCAGTTGGATAAATACTTGTATGCCTCTGTGTACTAAATAATTGGGTATAAATACTGATGAAACAGAATTATTGTCTTTATGGAGACTCATTCTGGTTTGTTTTTTGAGACAGGATTTCTTTGTGTAACAGCCCTGGCTGTCCTGGAACTCACTTTGTGTAGACTAGGTTGGCCTCGAATTCACTGAGATCCACCTGCCTCTGCCTCCCGAGTTCTAGGATTAAAGGCGTGAGCCCCCATTCCTGGCTGGTTGTTTTTTTTTTTTTTAAACAGTAGAAACTATTGGGGCTTTCAACACTCTTAAAAGAATTTATGAAGTTATTTCAGATAGTTTGTAAGTATACTTATATACAAACATGGGAGCCTCCTAGTTCATGCTGAGCAGTTGCCCAGCATGCGTAAGGCTCTGGGCTTAATCCTTAGCAACATTAAGAAGTAAGAAAATAAGTGACCCTGGAAAGGTAGCTATTAACCCAATTTATAGGTAATAAAACTGGAGATACAGCTGGCTTAAGGAACATGCCAGAGATCTTACAGAGGTAAGTTGGGATTATCATTGCCCTCAGATACCTTGGAACAAAGAATATGGATTGACAGACAATTTGGTGTTACTTAGGCATGAAGAAATGGAGAAAAATTATGGTTAAGACTGTAGGATGTAAGCCGGGCAGTGGTGGCGCATGCCTTTAATCCCAGCACTCGGGAGGCAGAGGCAGGGGATCTCTGTGAGTTCGAGGCCAGCCTGGACTACCAAGTGAGTTACAGGAAAGGCGCAAAGCTACACAGAGAAACCCTGTCTCGAAAAACAAAACAAAACAAAACAAAAAGACTGTAGGATGTGATGAGGAGACAAGGGAAAAACTGGTCAGTTGGGAGATGAAGCCAAAAGTCTGAAGTAGTCTTGATGAATTTCTTAGTAGGACTAAGGAACTAGAAAGAAAAGGAGGAGGCCAGGGATGGACTGTCCACTGCAGGGCGGAGGTTAGGAGATTAGATCAGTGGTTTGTTTATACCAAGGTGATGGATCAGGTCACTGGAAAGAAGGTGGACTGTAGTTACTTTGTGAATGAGGGAGAGGGACATGGAGGTACGCAGTGATGTTGAAGCTGAGTAGGAGGTTTCAAGGAGAGCTTTGGAGTAAGGCTGTAGGAGAACGACATAGCGACCCGATTTCAACTTCAAAGCCACCAGAGAGGCACAGTCTTAATGAACTAAGGTCAAGATTACAGAAGAAAAAGGGAAGAATGCCCTAAAGTGTCTGAATTATAGGAAATGGAGAGCAGGAGGAACATGTTGGTGAGGTTGGCCAGTTGCCTCTCCTCCCTAGTGATGGAAGAGCTGTAAGCTGGAGACTAGAGACTCCAGGCAAGGTGGCCTGATGCCCTGGGGCAATTTGCACAAGGCTCAGTGTTATTATTACAGTTGCTTTGACAATAGTTAGGAGCTTATGGTTCAGTAGAGAAGCCTGCTCCACAGGCCAGCGTGTTATATAACGTTCATATAAAGCACAATGTCACTTGTTTTCAGAAAAAGTCTGAGGTATGGGAACATCATTTACCCTAGCTTCCGTAGAAATTGAGGAAGGTCATAAGCACTCCTGTGTTCTTCTCATTTTTGTTGGCATTTCAGATTCCCTTCTTTAGAAATACCAACATCAGATATTCCCATGACTGTGTCACAAATTTCATTATATCCTCACATAACCTATGTCAAAAACCCTAATGTGTTCAGAGATGCCATGTGCTTTAGTCATTACAAACCAATAGAGATCCATGTTGACATTTAATTTGGACTCTTGCTGTTGTAGCTGGTTCTGATCTCTACAATGAAGTAAGTGGTTGTTGGAACATATTAGTACTGAAGACAAACTGTCTAGGTTTGAGTTTTTTTGGACTTTGTCTTAAATGCTTTAGTTCAGATCCTGTCACCCACCTCTCCTTATGTACTTGTGGTGCTGGGTGTTGGTCTGTTCTAGGCAGCACCCTAACATTTCCCTGGTTCACTCTCCTGTTGTTTTAAAGTTCTTTTAAGTTGATGGCTTTTGGGCATATCTTTAAAATAAATGAATATACACACATTTCTGATTTATTAGAGCCCCTTACAGGCTGTGGCCCGAGTAGTCCAACATTAGCTGTGTCCTGACAGAATGGCCAAGGATTCAAAAGTAGTTCAGTCCACAAGACTGGATGTCTCAGCATTCCCAGTCTGTGCTGGAGTCTTTGGGAGGTCTGAGAACTGCCAGGTTTCAGTCCCCGGTGGAATCCCGTAGTGTAAGTTCTAGCACTAGGGAAGAAATGACTCGGGATAGATGAACTTGTCATCGAGAGTAAGGGCTGAGAAAGCACCAGCTTCCTTCTTCCTTGTCCTTTTATGGGAGCTGCTCCCAGGAGGTGGTTTAGGTGGATCTTCTGACCTCATGATCCGGATTTAGGGCGAGTCTCCCTCTTCAAATGATCATACCAAGAACAATCCCTTCCAGGTGTGCCCTGCTGCTTGGGATTTAGTAACTTCCAAGTGTAGTTCATGTAGAAAGTGTAGCTGTTACAGTTGGTACCTTATAATGGAAGTTAATTCATGTAAGTACCTAGCACTTAGGAAGAACGTTGCATATTACTCACAGGTGCTTCTTTTTTTTTCTTTTGGTTTTTCGAGACAGGGTTTCTCTGTGTAGTTTTGGTGCCTGTCCTGGAACTCACTCTGTAGACCAGGCTGGCCTTGAACTCACAGAGATTTGCCTGGCTCTGCCTCCTGAGTGCTGGGATTAAAGGCGTGAGCTACCACTGCTTGTTTGACTCACTGGTGATTGATTCTTTAGGTGAACTGTGGGTGTGTGCATGGTTTAAAGAGGAAGAGACTGTTTACTCTGAATAGTTTTCTGTCAACCTAAGGTTTTGGGGAAAGAGTTTGAAAACAGATATGATGTTCTGTTTAAGACTAGGCTCTTCAGATTAAGCTTAGGTAGAGTATAACAAGACTTTTGAATGGCCAAACTTAATCTGATGTTTTCCCTCCCTAGGTTGAAACTGAGCTCAAGTTAATCTGTTGTGACATTCTGGATGTACTGGACAAACACCTCATTCCAGCAGCTAACACTGGCGAGTCCAAGGTTTTCTATTATAAAATGTAGGTTCTATACTAGAAGGGAAAATGTGAGATTTAAAGTTAGCCTTAGAACCATAACTTTTTAAATGTAGGTTTTCAATTTTGACTTAAAATAGTTGAATATTGGAGGGTTAGTTACCAAAACTTAAAAGTTTTAATTTTAATTAGCAAATACAGTACTAATGAAGAATTAACATTGTTGAGACTGTCAGACTATTGTACAAAATACCTAGCTTTTGGTCGCTGTTACCATTCCCAGCCCCACCCCACTGTTTATATCCTTGACTGGCCTGGAACTCAATATGGCAGACCCATGCGATCCTTGTGTTCAGATAGATCTCTGTGTCCTGGGATTAAGTAAGGTGTGTGCCACCATTCCCAGTTTATTTGGAGAACAAGGTCTATCCATGTAGCCCTGGTTGCCCTCAGCTTTGGAGTAGTCCTCTATTATCTTCCTAAATGCTGGGGTTATATGTCAGCACGCCCTGCCTGGGTCTTTTGCTTTTGTGGCTTCCTTCCTCTTAGCTAAAGCTGCAAAGTTCACAGTATAATCTTAACTTTCTGGAGAAATTAGCAGGCTGGGTATAGCTCAGGAGTAGTCGGGGCTCATCGTGCTCAGAGCTCCAGGTGTCTTGGCACCTCAGTGACAGCAACAAATGTGTATTGTGACGAACGAACGTGTGCCGCTCTTGGGAGACACTTTTATGCTACTCAGGTGATTTTTGCTTCAGTTATATTCTGTGGGAATTTCCCAATAATTTTTAATAGGAAATCCTTAAGGAAAGAAGAGATGGATTCTGAAGTCATTTTTAAAGTTTCTAAGAAGTATATATCTCAATTGTTAACTGTATTTTGTCATGTACTAGAGAAAAATTGTCAGGCTCCAAGAAGTATTTTTAATTGTGGTTTGATTTGCTGTTGTGTCGTAGGAAAGGGGACTACCACAGGTATCTGGCCGAGTTTGCCACAGGAAATGACAGGAAGGAGGCCGCAGAAAACAGCCTCGTGGCTTACAAAGCCGCTAGCGACATCGCCATGACAGAACTCCCGCCAACGCACCCCATTCGTTTAGGTCTTGCTCTCAACTTTTCCGTATTCTACTATGAAATTCTTAATTCCCCCGACCGGGCCTGCAGGTGAGTGGTGGAGGGGCTCCCTCCCGTCTGTAGTCGACTTCCTTTTTCATCATGTACTAGGGTGTGGTCCTTCAGCTTTTGAGGGGCTTACGACAGGGTCTTGATAGCTTGCCTCGCCTACCTTTGATACTGAGTTCTCATGTCTCATTCTTCGGTTGTTAGGAATTGTAGACATTGACCACCTCACTTCCCTGGGAATGCTTACAATATTCTTGGTGAACTTTTTTTGGTTGTTGTTTTTTGAGACAGAGTTTCTCTATGTTGCCTTTGGCTGTCCTGGAACTGACTCTGTAGACCAGGCTGTCCTGGAACTCACAGAAATTTACCTGCATCTGCCTCCCAAGTGCTGGGATTAAAGACATGTGCCACCACCTCCCATCATGAACATATTTTTAAAAAATATTTTCTAATATAATTATATTATCACTGGTGTTTATGAAACTGTTGTCACACTAAAAACTGTGCACTTTGTGTGTGTTTACATGTACGTGCAGGAATTGATTCTCTTTCTCCTATGATGGGCCCTAGGAAACAAATCAGGGCATCACATAGTTGTGAGCAAATTGTGGGTGCTGGAAATTGAACTTGGATCCTCTGGAAGGGCAGTAAATGAATGCGCTTAACCACTGAGCCATCTCGCCAACCTCCTTTTCTCCCATTTTTCAAAAAAAAAAAAATTACTTACCTTTATTTTATGTGTGTTGGTGTTTTGCCATGGATGTCCGGTCCCCTGCAACTGAAATTACAGACAGTTGTGAGCTGCCATGTGGGTGCTGGGAATTGAACCCGGGTCCTCTGGAAGAGCAGTCAGTACTCTTAACCACTGAACCATCTCTCCAGCCCCCTTTTCTCCCCACCCCAGACAGGATTTCTTTGTGTAGCTTTGGAGCCTGTCCTAGAACTTGCTTTGTAGACCAGGCTGGCCTCGAACTCACAGAGATCAGCCTGCCTCTGCCTCTGGAGTGCTGGGATTAAAGGTGTGCACCATTACTGTCCGGCCTTTCTTCAATTTTTATATCAACTTGTTTCTAGTTTTTAAATAATGAATGCAAATTAAAGAATGTTGTACTGATAAACATGTATACTACAGAGAATATATTGTAACAATTTTCATGTGTGTAATTGAGTGGAATTTAATATGTTCACAATTTTTTATAACCATCAGTACTAGCCATTTCAAGTCGTTTTCATCACTTCACCCAAACTCTTGCCTGAGTTACAGTGTGAAATCCTGTCTCAATCCTCCTCTTCTAAAAGCTGGGGGTGGAGGTACAGCCCTGTGATTCCAGCACTCTGGAGATGGAGGCAGGACAACTAGGCATTCAGAGCCAGACAGGGCTACATGAGACATTGAACAAAACAAATCTCCCCCCCCTTCTCCTTTGGGAGTGGGTTCTGAATTTTACCCATTGTAGGTATATGCCACATTTGTTTTATCCAAAGATATTCAAACTTTTTGGATTTTCGAGGCAGGGTTTTTTCTTTGTTGCTCTGGCTGTCCTTGGAACTCTTTCTGTACAGACCAGGCTGGCCTGGAACTCACAGAGATCCTATTGCCTTTGCCTCTCCAGTGCTGGGATTGAAGATGTGCGCCACCACTGCCTGGCAGAAAAATATCTTTATCACACATATATTTTGGTGGAGGTTTGGGGTGGTCGACTATACAGAGTGTTTTCACAGTCTAACCTATTTGTCATAGTTCATATACATTGTATTAAGAATTAGTGCCTTGGGGCTAGAGAGATGGCTCAGTTTAAAGAGTATGTACTTTTGGGGTGCCTGAGTTTATTTCTAGCACCCATATGAAGCAGCTCACAAGTGCCTGTGACCCAAGCTCCAGGGGATCTGATGCCTCCGGCCTCATCTGACACCTGTACTCTTGCACACATACATACAAATGCGTATAATCATGATAATAAATCGTGGATGGGGTGGTGGTGCATGCCTTTAATTCCAGCACTCAGGAGGCAGAGGCAGGCAGATCTCTTGAGAGTTTGAGGCCAGCTTAGTCTACAGAGTGAGTTCCAGGACAGCTAGGAGTACACAGAGAAACCCTATTTCAAAAAAACAAAAACAAAAACTTCTTTTTTTTTAATAAGCTAGGTGAGGTGGTGCAGGCCTCAGGTAATAATATCACTTGAAATGAAAGGCTGAGACAATTTATATAACTTCTTTGAGATAGAGTCTCACTTTGACACCCTAGCTGGTATATAACGTAGATCTTGCCTTCATATAGTTTGTTAATACTCTGGGCTAGGGTTGAAGTTCCAAGGCCCATCTTGCTTTGTATAGGAAGATGTTTAAAAAGGCACATGAGCATCTCTTTGAGATGCCCGAGTTGGTAGGACTGCTTGTTATCAAGCTGGATTAGCCTGAGTTTGGTCCTTGTGATCTATGTGATGGAGAGAGAGAGGCAGCTGGGACAGTTTGTCACCTGACCCTCAGGTGCATCTATACAGAATTCTAAAAATACATTTTTAAAAAGTTTTTTATTTGAATTAAATGCAACCTGAACAAAAATACTGAGTCTTAACATACTTCTAGTCAAAGTTATCTTGCAGCCGGGGGTGGTGGCACACGCCTTTAATCTCCAAGTTGTCTTTCTGTATTTGTCTGTCTGTCTGTCCCTTTGTTTCAGTGGGGCTGCCAGAGTACCTGAGAGATAGCCCTTTGTTGCTGTCTTTGCTATAAATTGAGTATTGACGGTGCATTCATTTCAGGTTGGCAAAAGCAGCTTTTGATGACGCAATTGCAGAACTGGACACGCTGAGTGAAGAAAGCTATAAGGACTCTACGCTTATCATGCAGCTGCTACGTGATAACCTGACACTCTGGACCTCAGACATGCAGGGCGATGGTAAGCAAGCCAAGATGTTTCTCTTTCGGTGGTTGCCTCTTCTAAGAACTCTTTTGGTGTTTTCTTAATCTTTGTGTATAATTCACACTCCAGCCTGTCTGCAATAATTAAAGTTTATTCCTTCTATAGGGAATGGTGCCCAAGTGCCATTTTGGCCCTTGATAGAAAGTACAAGGCCTGTTTGACAATTTCAGATGTGTGTAGAAATATTATGCCAGTATTTAAAGCTGTAAAAGTTTTGCCTTTTAATAATGATTTGTTAGTTCTCATACTGCTTTAATCATTGTAGCGACAAAATGACAGGAAACATGTCCTTTTTATAGTATTTTTTTAAACTTAAATTGTGTTATGTGTTTGAGGGTTTTGTCGACATATGTCTGTGTACTGCATGAATGTCCTCAGAAGCCAGAAGGAAGGCACTGATGAATCCCCTAGAACAGGAGTTACAGATGTTTGTAAGCTTTCATATGGGTGCTGGGAATTAAACCTGGGTCCTGTGGAGGAGCAGGCAGTGATCTTAACCACTGAGACATCTCTAGCCCCCATCATTTCCTTTTATCTTCTCGAAATTCAGTTGGGAGGGAATTAGCAGAGGTTGTTTATAAAATTATATGGCATTATTAGGTATTAATGAAACATCTCTGCATGGTGCTAGGTACATGATTTACCTCTGGCTGTACCCTGATCCCTCTGTAGAAATCTTTTTCTCTAAAAAGCAACTGTTTTCCTCTAGGGTTCTACAAGAAATAAAATGATCTGTCCTTAGGTCCATGCTTAAGAGTTCTGGTATTGTCTGGTTTTGGATTTTCATTTGCAAAGTTACTATTTGAGGGGGAGTAATTGCTGTTTGGGCCATGCACGTGTAATTTTTAACTTCAAATATAAAAGTTGAAGTTGATCGTATTTGTAGATTTCTAAGGTGTGTGTGTCTATGTGTGTGTAGGTAGAATCCAGGTCCCTGTGCATGTTAAGCACATGTTCTAACACTTAGCTCACTATTCTTCATTCTCCAAAGAGATTTTTTTGGGTTTTGTTGTTATTTTTTGATACAGGGTTGTATTAGTGTTTTTTTTTTTTAAATAAGATTTATTTAGTAAACAATTACTTTAGCCGGGCGGTGGTGGCGCACGCCTTTAATCCCAGCACTCGGGAGGCAGAGCCAGGCGGATCTCTGTGAGTTCGAGGCCAGCCTGGGCTACCAAGTGAGTCCCAGGAAAGGCGCAAAGCTACATAGAGAAACCCTGTCTCGAAAAAAAAAAAAAAAAAAAAACAATTACTTTATGTGTAGGGGTATTTTGCCTGCATATATGTCTGTGTACCACATGGGTACCTGTAGGCTTCAGAGGCCAGAAGAGGTGGTCAGATCCCCTGGAACTGGAGTTACAGGTGTGAACCATCATGTAGGTGCTGGGAATTAAACCTGGGTCCTCTGGAAGAGCGATCAGTGTTCTTCTGAGCCATTTCTCCAGCCCCAAGATTTCTTGATTTTTTTTTTTTTTTTTTAATGAGGAGTGTTTTGCTAGTATGCATGCATAAACATCTCATGCATGTCCAGTGCCCAGGGAAGCCAGAAGAGGGCATCAGATCCCTTTGAACTCGGATCACAGGTGGCCATTAAGCACCACATGAACGATGGGAATAGAATTTATGCCTTCTGCAAGAGCAGCAAACACTCCCCAACCACTGAATCGTCTCCCACCACAAAATTTATCTGTGCTTTTTTGTTTGTTTTGTTGTTTGTTTTTTCGAGACAGGGTTTCTCTGTGTAACACTCCTGGCTATTGGAACTCACTCTGTAGACCAGGCTGGCCTCAAACTCACAGAGATCCGCCTGCCTCTGCCTCCCAAGTGTTGGGATTAAAGGCGTGTGCTACCACCAAACTAGTTTCTGTTTTAATTGTAGTCATGTTAAGCGTGCTACTCAGGCAGAAACTTATTTAATAACTTACTTCTAACTACAGTTTCTGCTTAGATTGACATGCTTTGTATTGACCTTGGAAGTGTGCTTGGGTTATGAATGCTATCCATTTCCTTTCTCTGGCAAAATGGAGTTTGATTTTTTTTTACTTTACCTTGTGTTACTAATACAAGAACTTGTTTGGTTCAGCTTCTAAAAGCTAAGTCATCAAGTATTAATGTATTACAAGACAAGTGTTGTGATGAGACACATGATACGAACTGCCTACACATTTTTCTACCATCTTGATAGAGCCACTATAGTGATGTGCACAACTTTAATCCCAGCTTGGCGGCCAGGCGGATCTCTGCGAGTTCAAGGCCAGCCTGGTCTGCACAGCAAGTTCCAGGACAGCTAGGGCTACACAGAGAAACCTGGTCTCAATAAAATACAATCACAAAAAAAAAAAAAAAAGAGGCCATTTTATTTATTTTACTAGTGTGTGTGTGTGGGGGGGCATATACGTACCCTCGTCGGTGTTGGTACTTTAGGCACATGTGGAGGCACAGAATGATGTGGGCATGTGGGTTGTCAGCATTTGCAGTCACGCCCAGCTTTTATGTGGGTGTTAGATATTTGGAGTGGGGGTCTTCTTGTTTTCACAACAAGAACTCTTACTCACTGAGCCATCTTGCCAGTCTCTAAAATGCTTTTTGTTTGTTTGTTTTTCGAGACAGAGGTAGGAACAGCCTGTCCTGGAGAGAGCCTGTCCTGGATCTCTCTCTGTAGACCAGGCTGGCCTCAAACTCACAGAGATTTGCCTACCTCTGCCTCCCAAGTGCTGGGTTTAAAGGCGTGTGCCACCACCGCCCGGCCCAAAATGCCTTTTAAGATTTTCAGTTGGTAGATTACTTTCCTAAGTATAATAAATTTGAGGCCTACTTGAGCTCCATCATTAAAATGTTGCTAAGTTACGAAGTTTACAAAGCTCGAATTTTATAATTCTGCTGTAAACTATCATTATCAGTGATGAACTAATCATCAATAAAAGTAATATAGCCATTTGCCTTTAATCCCAGCACTTAAGAGGCTGAGGCAGGCAGATCTTTGAGCTGGAGGCCATCTTGGTATACCAGTAAATTCCAGGACAGCCCGGACTGCATAGTGAAACCTTGTGCCCTCCCCCATTAAATAAATGAAATATAATTTGTACAAATTTAAACTCGATTTACTTAAACTTCACTTTGTTTTGGTGTGCATGGGGTACATGCACGTGGAAGTCTGAAGATAACAGCTTAGGGTGAGGTGTGCTCCTGGTTTCTCTGTGTAGACCAAGCCGGCCTCAATCTCAGTTCTACAAACTGCCTCTGTTTGTGCCACCACACCTAGCTCATGTTCTTTCCACCTTTACTTGGGTTCTGAGGATTGAATTTATATTGTCTGGCTTGCATGACAGTGTCATTTTATATGGGCCATCTTACTGGGCCCTATAAATTATTAAAAATTCTGTGGGTTGGGGGAGTTTGGTATTTATGGAGGCCAGAGGTACCATCCACCTTGTGTGTGTGCGTGCATGCACACACTTCAGACAGAGTCTGTCATTGCTCTGGGTCATACTGATTGTCTAGGGTGGCTCCCCAATTCTGCAGAGATCTCTCCATCTCAGCATTGAGATTCAAAGCGTGTACCACATACCTGCCTTTTCTTATGTGGTCTCATGCATGTATAGCAAGCATTTTACAGCTGAGTTCTTCCATGTGGAAACATTTCTGTCATGGGATTAGCAGTTTTCCAGCATTCAGCTTAAGTTAGAGCACTCTTGTTGATCTTTTTTTTTTTTTTTTCCAAGACAGAGTTTCTTTGTAGCCTGTCCTGGAACTAGCTCTGTAGACCAAGCTGGCCTGGAACTCAGAGATCTATGTGCCTCTGCCTCCCAAGTGCTACTATTAAAGGCGTGTGCCACCACCGCCTAGCTAAAGTTAGCCCATTTATTTTACTGCTGGTCATGAAAATAGTGTTATTAAATGTTTGAATTGAGAATGTCTAATGATGTGCTCTTTTACCTACCTACTTGTATGTCTTTTCCTGTAGAGGATGCTAATGACTGGTCTAATTTATTAGAACATTTTGTTTTATTTTATGAGTGTTTTGCCTGTGTACTACATGCCTACCTGCCTGCCTGGTACCTGCAGAGGCCAGAAGAGGATGTCAGTCAGATCACTTGGAACTTGAATTACAGATAGCTGTGAGCCACCACATGGGTGCTGAGAACTGAACCCATGTCCTCTTCAAGAACAGCCAGTGTTCTTAACTGCTGAGCTATCTCACCAGCCCAGGAAGACAATCCTTTAAAGAAAAAATTTGTGCATGTGTGCCGTGTGCTTGTGCACGCCCATGTGCATGCTGCAGCACATGTGTGAAGCACAGAGATTCTTTAGTGGGGTCACACTGTTAAAAGGACTGTTTCTCTCTCTCTCTCTTTTTTTTTTTTTTTTTTTGGTTTTTCGAGACAGGGTTTCTCTGTGTAGCTTTGCGCCTTTCCTGGGACTCACTTGGTAGCCCAGGCTGGCCTCAAACTCACAGAGATCCGCTTGGCTCTGCCTCCCAAGTGCTGGGATTAAAGGCGTGCACCACCACCGCCCGGCTTTAAAAGGACTGTTTCATAGAGAGGAAAGGTGTATGTTCTGTCTGCTCCTTTTTCTCCTGGATTGGGCAAAACCTCCAAAAGGTTTCTTAGGAGTAAAGGACAGGTCAGTTCTTGAGGTTTCTTCAGGTGGAAAGACCAAGGCTGACTCCCGGGACTCGTGGGTGTGTCCTTTGTCCTGTTGTGGTTGGTTTTCCTGTAATGTGCTCATCTGATTGCTCTCCTCCTCCCTCTCTTCTTGACTGTAGATTCCTAAAGGAAAGCCCACCTCTTCTTTCCCTTAGAACTACTTTGTAAGTCGTTGCTGTGGTGCAGGGAGCTCGGCTTTGTTTTCTTCTCACTAATCACGCTTGCCGCCTGTACACCTGTTTGTCCTCCCAGACTCCTCACCTGTTTACCTTCTCAGGTGCTAAGTCTGGAGGCAGCCATGGCCTGCTCCCTGCCTGTCTATTTATTGGGTGTGCCTTATGTATGCAGTGACTTTCATGACTTGTGTCTGAGTGGCTGAGACTCTTGCCATGTCTGCCAGTAGCCTGTGTGTGTTCCTGTGCTCTGTTAGCACACTGGCCAGTGTGTTCTGTTACAAATGAGACTGAACATCCAAGCCTGTGAGCTTGGATGCGTTGCTCTGGAGGGCTGGCCTCCCTCCGTTCTTTCCTAGGAGATGGTTCTGTTTGTCCTTGCATGTCTTCTCTGTCTTACAAGTTAAACCACCCTCCATGTGCTTCAAGCAATTTTCATTTTTGAGACAGGGTCTCAGTATGTAGTTCAGGCTGGCCTTGAACCTTTTGTGCTTTGATAAAGACCTGACTTGTTAATCACACATCAATGTCAAACTTCTTACTACAAGAAATTTTAGAGCTCTTAACTTGATGCTTACTGCTGTGGTGATGCGTCACTGTTTAAAAGCTGGCCTTAGTATAAATGCTCCATGTTTACACATTATAAATGCAAAGCTTATCATCTAAGCTGTTTCTATTATTAGACTGCTCTCTTTTTTTAGTGGTTTAGTAGCATTTTAAAAATTGGTTTAGTAGCAGTTAACTGAGTGTGTGGTTATGTGTGTTCTTATTTTTGAATTGCTAGGGGTTGAACATAGAGCATTATGCATGATGCTAAGTACATGCTATATACCCTACCCTCTGGTAAACTGAGTGGGCTTTTTTATTCAAACTAGTAATTCTCCATATTATAATGTACAAAAGAATGTAATTTTTACCTGTTGGATCATTTTTTAGCAAAAGCTTCGCATGTTTTCTTACTATGGCTGACTTGATTAGTGCTTATAAGTAGGTAGATGACCCTCCAGTGAGTAGACTTGGCTTTCTCTTGCATGTCATAGTGCAGTTGAAATGTGAAACTTGGCAGGCTAGTTCAAAGAAAAAGAGAAAGAGCATGAGAGCTGGCCCAAACGCCCTTTTAGGATAGCCTCAGTGACCGGGTATTTGACCCTGAAGGAAAGAATCCACTGTTGGGCTTGTCCGGCCACCACACAAAGAAGTATTCCTGTACAGTAGCACATCCTCCCCAAACACCGTAGAATCGTGTGGAGCTTTTATTCCCTTGAAGGATAGCTGATGTTGAGCTTGTGAGTAGATTGTCTGTCCCTCCCCTGCCACCCCAAAAAGTAAAAAGCAAAATACTCTTTGGCCCAAGAAACACACGAAGGCTTGAAGGTCACTGTGTAAGAGCGATCTTTATGCTTGTTTAACAGAGACGTTTGATTTCTGAGCCTTTCAAAGTCTTAATTTTATCATCCTCTAACACTTGACTGTTTCAGGACTGTGGTTGGCAGCTCTTGGTTTAAGCACCTCAGATGTGAGGTTAGAAGCTCTGCCTGCTGAGTTTGCTAACATTGTAGTAAAACTAGGAACTCTTGGATTGGACTGGTGTCTTTGTGAGCATTAGAGCATGTGACAGTGAAGTCATTGTGCCTTGTTCCTCCTTACAGGTGAAGAGCAGAATAAAGAAGCGCTGCAGGATGTGGAAGATGAAAATCAGTGAGACATAATAAAGCCAACAAGAGAACACATCTCTGACCACCCTCCCTCCCCTCCCCTCCCCTGGAAGTTCCCCATTGTCACTGAGAACCACCAAATTTGACTTTCACATTTGGTCTCAGAATTTAGGTTCCTGCCCTGTTGTTTTTCTTTCTTTTTCTTTTTTTTTCTCCCCTCCCCCTTTTTTAAAACAACAAACAGTTTTCAGAAGTTCTTAAAGGCAAGAGTGAATTTCTGTGGATTTTACTGGTCCCAGCTTTTAGGTTCTTTACGACACTAACAGGACTGCATAGAGGCTGTTTCAGCATTACTGTATTGTCTCCAGCCACATGCGGCAAGATCATCATTAGAAATGGAAATGACGTTTGAGAGCCATTAGACTTCTAGGTGATGATCTAAGAAAGATCAATCACACGATGGAGGCACATGTGCTGTCGTTCTTCCTTTTTAATTGTTGAAATTGAATTTTATACCAATGTTTCAACTTAATGGGTGTTAGCTTGAGGTGTTGGGGGGTTTGTTGGAATGGTTTTGCTGTAAATGTGTTGGGAACTCTGCTGAAGTGTTGCTGGAAAGCACGGTGCTGGTAACAGCTCAACAATCCGGGGCTGCTCATTCTTGCCGACTCCTCCCCTCTGAAGCAGGTTAGCATTGAAGGTGGTATGGAAGCCTGCATGCGTGTTCAACTGTTCCTCCCCTGCTCCTCAGCCTCCTTCCCGCCTCCTCCTTCGCTCGCTCAACCTCTTTTGTTCAGTATGTGTAACTTGAAGCTAATTTGTACTACTGGATATCTGACTGGAGCCACAGATACAGAATCTGTATTGTTCTTACTGAAACACAGCATGGAATTAACATTAAACTTAAATAAAACAAACCTAAATTAAAAATGCCAAATATATTACGCCTCCATCCTTTATACTTCTAAAATAAAATCTCTAGTCCAAACATATTTGACAGTATTGTTTGTCTGAATGTGAAAATATTCCCCCATTTTATCTTCCATAAAACATTTGTTCCCAGTGATATGTACTTGGGGTGTGGGGAAACTGCTTGTAATGTGGTATTGAACAACCAAGCCAGTAGATTACATGTCCTGTCTTTCAAACGAGTTAGCAACACAATATTTATGTTTAAGTTTATCATTAAAGTACAACAATCCTATTGAACACAGGTGTAGCTATGGATCATTTTCTGTTGTGTAATGTTGGGGTGTACAACTAGATAAGGTTCAGTGTGTCAGAATAACCCTCCTCGGTCTAAAGTAAAAGTACACTCCTCACTGCAAAGCCAGTGGTAAGAAGAGAGCAGTTGCCTCCCTTGTTAGGATCGTCCTTCCAGAAACATCTGCAACATGTGCATAGTTTGTGCAGAGGCAGTGTGGATGGTAGTGTGTGCACTTGGGTGGGTCTCCCTTACTTCCCATTGCTGAAGGCCGGAGGTCCTCAGAACCCCTCCCAAGGTGTATCCAGTTCTGCAGTAGGCACTGGTGAGTGTTGGCATGGGCAGCACGGCGCGCTTGTGACTATCCGGAGTCAGAAAACATCTCTCTGCAGTGCTGGGATTGAAAGAATGTTTGCGATTGGAAAACACGCCCCACGGTTCACTTTCTCTAAAATGTCACGCTACTCTTGTACTACTTAGTGGATGATGGGGCCCAGCTTTTTGATTTTCAAAGAGGAGGACCGTGGTTATTATGCAAGGTCACAGTCACATAGACTAGCTAACTCAAAGGTGCCATTCTGCCTCACCTTCCCAAATTGTTAGGATTAAAAGCATTCACAGGCTAGATTTTAGTTTTATCTTTAGGACATGCCAGCAGTTGAAATAATGACTTTGTGAATTCCTTTTGCATAAGAGGGTCTTCAGATGATTGATCACTTTATAAGCCAGCATACGATTTCCAGATCAAGAAAGTCATAAAGCCTTGTGACAGTTTTTTAAGGCACTTAGGTAATGCAGGCATTCAGAGAGTTACTGCACCGAACACTAATGCCTGTGTGACTCCTGGACTTGATCTAGTTAAACAGTGGAGACAGGGCTGGAAAAATGGCCCGGTGATTAAGAATACATTCTGTGAACCCAAATCCCAGAACTGGTCACTCACCATTGCCTGTAATTCCAGTTCCAGCAGATCTGACACCTGCCCTCCACAAACACCAGCAAGCATGTGGTGTATATACTCAAGATTTTTTTAAAAATAGTGTATCTTTAAAAATCAAAACTGAGGCCAGGTGGTGGTAGCATACACCTTTAATCTCACAGCACTTGGGAAGCAGAGGCAGGCGGATCTCTTGAGTTCAAGGCCAGCCTGGTCTACAGAGTGAGTTCCAGGACAGCCAGGGCTGCCCAGAAAAAAAGAAAAAGAAAAAGAAAAAAAAAAGCTCTCTCAAAAACAGAAACAACCCCTATCCCCGAGAGCCTGATACTTCTGTGGGGTAGTCCCCACACAGTCTGTTAGGATGAAATAATGTCTTAATTTCATTAGTTTTGTTGTGAGGTTGGGGTCTCATGTAACTCGGGCTGGCTTGGGAATTCAGCTAAGGATGACTGAACTTTCTTTCTCCAAGGTGCTGGGAGTACTGGTGTGTGCCACCACACCAGCAGTGGTGTAGGAGTGCTGAGGGTAAAACCTGGAGTTTGCACAGTGGACAGCACGAACCAATCAGGCTTGACCCCAACCTGGCCACTGTCCATAGTGTGTAGACTCCCTGTAGCGAGCAAACTTTCTAAAAAGAGGCATGAGCATTAACATTTTTTGTTTTTTTGTTTTTTTTCAAAATAAGAGTTTCTCTCTCTACACCTGGCTGTTATGGATGGAACTGGATCTGTAGACCAGGCTGGCCTTAAACTAGGAAATCCTCCTGCCTCTGCTTCCCAAGTGCTGGGATTAATGGCATGTGCCACTACTGCCCGGCCAAGTTTGTTTTTAAGTTTTATGTGTATGAGTGTTTCTCCTCTGTGTATGTCCCTGTTCCTCACAGAAGCCTGAAGGAGTCCGATCGAGGCCTTGGAACTGGAGTTAGAGGCAGTTGTGAGCTTCCCTGTGGTTGCTAGAAATCCTCTGTAAGAACAAGTTCCCTAAACGGCTTCTACATCTCCAGCCCTCCGTGAGCATTTCCAAGCAAATTTGATAAGGAGAAAACCAACCTGCCTAGTACTCCAGGAAGTTGAAGCGAGGATCCCAGGTCAAAGGCTAGCTTCAGCTACATAGTGAATGGACAGGCCAGCCTTTATTACATGAGGCCACAGAGAAATCTACCAAAGTAATTATGAAGTCAGGAGAGAGATCTCATATGCTAAGAGATAGGCAAGCAAGGAGGCTGTGAAGGTCCTGAGCCCGCAGGGATAGTCACTCCCACTGCCCAGGGTTGGGTTGCCAAGGGTGTCGCCCAGAGTTGGAGCTCTTGGTTTTGTAGTGTCCTCTGAACTTTGAATTCAGTCAGAAACGTAGTTACATCTGCATTTTTATGTGTAGTGATGTTTTGTCCGTGTGTCTGTACCGTGTGTGTGCAGTGCCCACAGAGGCCAGAAGAGTGTTGGACTCCTGGAACTGGGGTTACAGACTGTTGTGAGCCACCATGTGGATGTTGGGAATCTCCATCATCTGGAAGAGCTGTCTCTGCAACACAGTTTTGTCAGTTTGTTTTGAGACAGGGTCTTGTCACGTTGCTTTAGCTGGTAGACCAGGCTGGCCTTTTTTTTGTTTGTTTTGTTTTTGTTTTTGAGACACAGTTTCTCTGTGTAGTTTTGGTGCCTGTCGTGGATCTCACTGTGTAGACCAGACTTGCAGAGATCTGCCTGGCTCTGTCTCCTGAGTGCTGGGATCAAAGGTGTGCACCACTGCCGGTGTAGACCAGGCTGGCCTTTAATTCCTGCCTTAATCTGAGTATTGAGATTAAAGGTATATTCCTCTGTGCCCAACAGTCCTGCTTAAAAAAAAAAAGTGAGTGTTTTGACTGCACGAATGTATAGCTGTGCATCACATGCATACAGTCACATCGTCATTGGAATTGGACATTTGTGAGCTGTTGGGTGGGATTTAAATCCAGATCCTATGGAAAAGCAGCTAGTGCTCTCAACCTTGGAACCATCTCCAGCCTCTCTCCTAAGAGATTTTGTGCGTGCGTGCGTGCGTGCGTGCGTGTGTGTGTGTGTGTGTGTGTGTGTGTGTGCGCGCGTGCGCGCGCGCGTTTGCTTGCTTGCTTTTCAAAAACATGGATTCTGGTGGCCAAGCAAGTCCTTGTGTTTGCAAAGCTACCTCTTCACCAACTGAGCAGTCTGTTTACTGTGTATGGATTGTTTGTTGTTCCATCCAGCCATACCACACAAACTGGAGAGTGAACAACACATTGGAATACTGAGTCACTGGAAATGTAAAGGTTAACTAAAATTGAATGAAAACCAAAACAAAAAACCAGCATGCCAAAACCTATGGGGCACAATGAAAGCATTGCACAGGGCCGTTCATGGGTAGTTAGGTCTCACGTGATTCAACAGGGGCAAATCCCCAGAAGGGATGCCGATCACTAGACCTAAGTGGAAGTAGGAGAAACAGTAGGAAGAATCAGTGAAACAAAGTTCTTTGAGATAATATCTGGTTGGCACATCTTCAGCCAAATTCAAGTATAGACATGAACTAACATGCCTGTCCTGGTTTTGGTTTTTGAAGACAGTGTTTCTACCTGTAGCCTTCGATGACCTGGAACTCACAGACCAAGATTGCCTCGAACTCACAGAGATCCTCTGCCTCCCGAGTGCTGGGATTAAAGGCGTGCGCCACCAGCACCCAGCTGTCCCTGGCCAGTTTTTCTCAAGTCGTACACAGCCTACCTCTGGTACTCTGCCCTATTCCTTGCCCATTCCACTTGGTCACATTGGGCTCCTTGAAGTTTCCTCCCATACCAAGCTTGCCTCTGTTCCCTCCACCTGGAACAGGTATTCCACCCCCAGTGCCCTCTCTGGGCCCCTCAAGTCCATCAGATCCATCTGGGGAGGCCACATGATCTTCCCAGGTACCCAGCATTAACACTGTTCCCGCCCTGTTCCTGCTGGCCAGTAACACCGATCCTGCCGCACATCTCCGGAGATCTGGACTTGAACCCTGTGTGGTTTGCACAAACATTTTAACTTATTTAAAAAAAATTATTGTGTGTGTTTAAGTGAGGGAAGGGAAAGGGTGGGGAAGGGAAGGAGGCAGGTTGTGAGAGTGTGCAAGCTGGCTCAGGTGTGTGGGGGTCAGAGGATAACTTCTGTTCTCATCCTCCACCTTGTTTCTCAGGTGTTTATTCCAGGTTAGTTGGCAGGAAGGCTCTGGGCAGTTTTCTATCTCCATTTCCCATCTGGCACCAGGAGTTACTGGGATTATTAATTTGTCACATTACATCCTGATTTTTTTTTTTTTTTTTTTTTTTTTTGCGACAGGGTCTTTTAACTATGTAGCCTTGGCTGTCCTGGAACTGGATGTGTAGACCAGGCTGGCCTCAAACTCAGAGATCTGAGTCTGCCTCTGCCTCCTGAGTGCTGGGATTAAAGGTGTGCGCCACAACAGACAGTATCTTGCCCTTTTTTGTTTGCTTTGTTTTTTGAGACGGTTTCTCTGTGTAGCCCTGGAACTTCCTCTCTAGACTGTGAAGGCCTCGAACTCAGAGATCCACCTGCCTCTGCCTCTGGAATGCTGGGATTAAAAGTGTAGGACACCACTGCCCGGCTTCATCTTGCCTTTTTAATTTGGGTTCTAGGAATCACACTCAGGTCCCAAAGCTTGTGTGGCAAGTGCATCTGATCAGCCCCATATATATATTTGAACTTAATGAGCCTTGATTTCCCCATCTGTAACTTGGGAGCCTGTTTCAAATGGGATCTTAGTGAAGGGTAAATGTGAGGCAGGAGGATCACCATAAATTGGATACTAGCCTGGTTTACAAGTGAGACCATTTCAGAAAACAAAGAGTACACGTGACATGTAAATCCTAGTTCCCTCTCGTTTGTACCCTCCAGATCTTCCAAGGAGTCTCCCGGGCCAGTGCGATCACAGTACAATGTTTCCATTTACTTTTGAGTTATATATCGTTATAAATATTAACAAATAAGACTTAAAAAGGACACCTTCGGGAAGGTCAGACGAAAAGTACAAAAATTGTGTCGTGGCGCTGCAGTTTGAGGACGTACTCCGCAGCCGTCACGTGGTAGTAAAACTGTAAGCAGTGCACGAGGCCGCGTCGACGACAGCCAGCGTCCATGCATCGGGAGGTTCGCTTGGCTGGAGGACAGGGTGGGACATGCTTGGTCCGGGCTCGGCAGGCGGGCCGGCCGCGGAGGTGTAGCTCCTCGTTCTCGCCACTAGAGGTCAGGAGGTCACCGCCTCAGGGTTGGAAGACGGCCCGTTCGGGGATTGGCTAATGGTAATGGTGGCGGCGGGCACGGCGGAGACCAGGACGCTAGGTGGATGACAGGACTTTGGAATGACCTTTGTTTTTGGTATCAGATTTCCTCTCTGCAGCGCTGTTGGACTAGAAGCAAGATACCCGTTTGGAGTGAAAGGATGAACTGATTCTGCAACTTCTCAGAGAGCTTTAACAGAGATGGAATGCACTGGGGCTTTAGACCAGCCAGGACCCCGGGAAAGTTCCATCACTTTAGTGGGCTCCTGCTTGGGCACTCACACGTAAGCCAGCTGGCTAGAAGCCCTGTCTCCCACCCAGGGTTCACAAGGACCATCTCTGAGGCCATGCCCACTTACTGCCCGGGACAACAGAGGGATCCAGGTTCTTGTCCCACCTGAGCGTGCTCTCTTGCTGGGCCTCGGCAGTCACCTAATGTCTAACAAACACTTCTGTATCATCAGGGAGGCTGCCAGGCTCCTCTCAGAACAGGGCACCCCGAAGGCCAAACACTGAATTACTCAGCTCAACCAGGTGTGTTGAAACGCCCTCCTTGGGCCCCAAGAGGCTCCCATTTCTAGCTGTGGGGGGAAAACACCAACCTTGGTACTAAGTCCCTTGACCACGGGCTAGGCGTAGGGCAGCCGAGTTCCAGGGCTTGGCTGTGGTCTTTTGGTAAACTCTAAATGGCACAGATGATTTCAAAGCCAGCTCGAGGGTAAGGTGCCCGGCACTAAGGAGATGCGTCTGTAACAGACCTCCCCAAGCCCCCGAGGCTCAGGAGGGTAAAGAGTCCTCAGCCTCAAAGGGCTTGGGGTTAAAACTTGGTTCAGCCCCTCCCAGCTTGGTGGCCCTAGAAGTTTACCAACTTCTCTGAGACCATTTCATTTGTAAAGTGGGTTGACAAAGCCACTGTGCCCCCCCCCCCAAGATGGTGAAGAGTCAGTGAGAGAGTGTCTGTCAGTGCACTAACATAGGCAAAGCCTTCCCAAGAGGGAAACCCAGTCTCTATAAGCAACAGGTGCCCAGGTGCTGTGGGGGACAGAGACCTCTTCCCTGCCAAGTGGGGAAGGCTGGGGAGCACTTGGGATTGGATCATGACCCGTGGTCCCGGGGCCTTATTTTAGCTGTAGGAGGGTGCTGGGCTTAGGGTATCTTCCCTCTCGGGACCTCCGTGCCTGTCACCCAGTGATGGGTTCAACAAATGGGGCTCTGAGATGGTGATGGAACTCCTTGGTTCTCCGTTTCTCCTGTCTTCCTGGAGCCCCAGTTGGCAGGAGACATTTGGGCGCTTCAGGATTGACATGTGTGGCACCCTACCCCAGAAAGTGAGGCCAGAGCTCTCAGCTCCTGGGGGCAGAAGCCACACCCCTACACCTTCCTCCAAACAAGGCGCTGACTTCCACCGCTATTCCTAGGGCAACCCACTGTCTTGGTAGGTCTAGGATGCCATGGAGTCTTGAGGGACCCAACACCAGCCTGAGCTGAGGGGATGAGGAAGGGAGAGGTGGGCAGGCAGGAGGAACTCTTGCCCCTTTTCATGCTAGTAGGGTCCCTTTTTCTCTTCTCTACGCTGCGGGAAAGAGGCTTCTGCTGAGAACAGGAGCAGTGAGTACTGAGCCCCCTTGGGAGCAAGATCAAATGGGAGAGCTTGGGTTTGAAGAGTCTACCTCAGTTTCCCTGGAGTGCTTGTACACATTCCCAAGCCCAGCTCCTGCCTCAAAACCTAATGCTGCCCCAGAGCAACCCTGGGCCCCCATGGCTCTCTGTCTGTGTCCCCTGGCATCTGCCTCAGGCCTCCTAATCTCTGTATTTGGCTTTCTCTTAGCTTCAGAGCCACAGCTGGCTTCTCAAGGCTGCGCTGAACCCCGACTCCCGCCAAGACGCCTTCCCTGCCCTCCACCCTCTAGCGGTCAGCAGTACCCACAGCCCCTGCAGACAACTGGCTGGTCCTGTGGGCCTCACTCCTCTGTGGCTATGTGTAGACCAGATCCTCTGCTAGCCAGGGACTCCCCGCCCCTGAGGCTCACAGGCTCTGTCCATCAATATACCAGGCATGAG